TCCAGGCTGTTGACAGAGCTGGAATCTCCTTCCTGGTGGCCCTTCAGCATCAAACTCTGGAAAAACCCTTTGGAAGCGAAACCGAAGGAAAACCCCGCTCCTCCCGATCCCAAAATCCAGGAAGGAATCCTGCTGAGAATTCCCGTCATCATCACCCACGGGCCAGATTCCAACGCCAAACCAGGAAAACTCACCGTGCTTTCATCCGGCTTGGAAATCAGGGATTGCAATTCCCAACTCCTGCAGCGCTTCCAATCGCGGGATGTGGATGAAATCCGCGTTCACACTCCGTACGAGATCAGCGTCCGGCAGAGATTCATCGGGAAACCCGACATTTCCTGCCGCCTCCTGGCGGCGCGCATGCCGGAGGCCATTCCCATCCTGGAGATGCAGTTCAGCAGGAAAATCCAGTTCTTGGAGGATGCGCTGGGATTTGCCGGAGCCGGGAAATCTCCCCAGGGGGATTTCTGGCCGGCAGGTGGGTGCTGGCGGGGAATTCCCGGCTCCAAAGGTTTCCGGGTGTTTGCCAAGGAATTTTGCAGGGAATTCCTGGTGAGGATCAATCCAGGGAATGAGCTCCGGGTGGCTTCAGAGCCTTTGGTGCTGCCGGTTTTCCTGGAGTTAATTCCTAGCTGGAAGGGAATATCTGATATCCAGTATCCTGGATCTCATATCCAGTGTCCAATATTTCATCCCATATCCGATATGTAATAATCAGTACCCCATATTTAATATCCCATGTACCATATTCAGTATTTAATATCCCATATTTAATATTCCACATCCCACATCCCATATTTAATAATTAATATCCCATATTTAATATCTCACATCCCATATCCCGTATTTAATAATCAATGTCCCATATCCCATATTCAATATCCCACATCTCATATCTCATATTTAATAATTAATATCCCATATTTAATAACTCACATCCCACATACAATATTTAATAATCAATATCCCATATTTAATATCCCACATCCCATATCCAGTATTTAATTATCAATATTCTATATCCCGTATTCAATATCCCACATCTCATATATGATAATTAATAATCAATATCCCCTATCCAATATTTAATATCCCGTATCTGATATCCCATATCCAATATTCCATATTCCATACCCAATAGTTAATAATCAATATCCCATATTTAATATCCCACATCCCGTATCCCACATCCCATATTCAGTTTTCTATATCCCATATCCAAGATCCCATATTCAATATCCGGTATCTGATATCCAATATTAAATATCCCATATCCAATATCCAGTGTCCCATATCCAATAGTTCATAATCAATATCCCATATCGAATATCCCATTTCTCATTTCCTATATCCAATATTTAATATCCCATATCCAATAATTAATATCCCACATTCCATATCCAATATCCCACATCCAGTATCCCATATCACATATCCAGTATCCCATATCCAACAGTTAATAATCAATATCCCCTATCCCATACCCAATATCCCGTATCCCACATCCAGTATCCCATATCCAATGTCCCATATCCCATATCCAGTAGTAAATAATCAATATCCCACATCCTATATCCCATATGCAATATCCCATTTCTCATTTCTTATATCCAATATTTAATATCCCATATCCAATATCCCATATATCGTATTCAGTAATCAATATCCAATATGCAGTAACCAATATCCAGTATGTAATACCCAATATCTCATATCCAATATCCTGTATCCCACATCCAGTATTTAATAATCAATATCCCCTATCTAGTTTTCTATATCCCATATTCCACATACTGTTTCCCATATCCAATGTCCCATATCCAATAGTGAATAATCAATATCCCACATCCAATATCTCATTTCCTATATCCAATATTTAATATCCTGTATTCAGTATCCCATATTTAATATTTAATATCCTGTATCCAGTATTGCATATGCAATATTCAGTAACCAGTATCCAGTATCTAATATCCAATATTTAATATCCCAAATCCAGTATTTAATATCCCATATCCCATGTCCAGTATCCCATATCCAATGTCTAATATCTGATAGTTAATCAATATTCCATATCCAGTATCCCATTTCTCATTTCCTATATCCAATATTTAATAGCCCACATTTAATAATCAATATCCCACATCACAATATCCAATATTCAGTAAGCAATATCCAGTATCTAATGTCTAATATTAATATCCCACATCCCATATATATCCCAATATCCCATATCCAGTATCCCATATCCAACAGTTAATAATCAATATCCCCTATCCCATACCCAATATCCCGTATCCCACAT